GTGTTGAAAGTGAGGTTACGGGTGTTGCATCTTCAGCACTGTCTGAGGATTTGGATACTGTCGAGGCGGAATTCAAATTTGATGATGGGGCTCGCATGGATCCCGGTAGTCCTCCTGCACCGAAAGATCAATTGTTGGCGATCCGGTTGAAAGAACTGGAAGTGGAATTAAGCCGACAACAATACAAAAGTCAGTTGTTACATGTCCGAGCTGTTGAGCTTGAGACAAAACGAGACATCCGGTTGAAAGAGCTGGAGCTTGACCTAAAACTCGAGCAGGCCCGGCATCCAGTTTCTGGGTTGCGGGGAAATACCCCTGTACTAAGCCCAGCAGACAGCTCCTCTCCTCTCCCTACAGCGTTGCATGCGTCGCCGGTAAGTCATGAATTTGATGTTAGTAGGCAAATTTCACTAGTTCCTATATTTAGAGAGAGTGAAGTTGACACCTATTTCACTGTTTTCGAGCGCATCGCTGCCACATTAAAGTGGCCTAGAAATATTTGGCCTTTATTGTTACAATGCAAACTTGTTGGTAAAGCGCAAGAAGTATGTTCCGCATTGACGCTTGAGCAAAGTTTAGACTATGGCGCTGTTAAATCGGCCGTGTTAAGAGCGTATGAATTAGTTCCGGAGGCTTATCGACAGAAGTTTAGAAAACATGTGAAAACCCCCAGTCAAACATTTGTTGAATTTGCACGTGAGAAAACCACACTTTTTGAAAAATGGTGTACTGCCTGTAAAGTTACAACTTTTGAGCAATTGAAAGAGCTCATTTTAATGGAAGAATTCAAAAACTGCATTTCGGAAAAGATTGTAGTTTATTTGAATGAACAAAAGGTTTGGTCACTGTCAGAGGCGGCTGTCTTTGCTGATGAGTTTGTGCTCACGCACAAAGTTTATTTTCCGCCCCCACGTTCTTCACATCACACTACTGTAGATCGCCGTCACAGTTCTAGAAATGAAGTGGTTGCTCAAAAAGATCAGACTTCTGATTCTTCATTGGTGTTGCGGGAATGTTTCTATTGCCATGAGAAGGGTCATTTGATTGCTGCTTGTCCTGTGCTGCAGCGGAAAAATCAGAGAAAAAGCGTAGCGTTTGTGCGTACTCACTCTTCCGATTCTTTGTTATCTATTGATCCCTCGTTTGAACATTTTGTATGTGAAGGGACAGTGTCGTTTTCTGAGTTGGACTCCGAACCCAAACCAGTACGTATCTTGCGAGATACGGGCGCCGCGCAGTCATTTATTCTAGCAAATGTGCTCCCGTTTTCCTCACAGTCTAGTTGTAACTCCGATGTTTTAGTTCAGGGAATTGAACTTGGTGTAGTCAGAGTTCCCTTGCATTCTGTATATTTACGTTCTGACATTGTGACTGGTTTAGTTAAAGTGGCCGTACGTACTCAGTTACCACTGAAAGGAATCTCTCTTATTCTGGGGAATGATTTAGCCGGAAGTAAAGTTTCTTGTCTTCCCGAGGTCACTGATGTACCTTGTGCATCAGAAAATGATGTGTTGACTCAGGAATTTCCTAGTGTATTCCATTCTTGTGTTGTGACTCGAGCGCAAGCTCGTAAGTTTGAAAATGAGATTGATCTCTCTAACTCATTCATGAGTTCAGATTTTCCAGGTGTTGAGGATTCTGTAAATGCTCGTTCAGAGAATTTGGGTTTTGAATCTAGATTTGACTTTCCTTTTGACAGAAAACAGTTAGTAGAGGCACAAAATGCTGATGATACTTTGACTTCACTTATTTCTGCAGTGATTGATAAGTCCGAACTACCCGATCACGCTGTTGCTTATTTTTTAGATGACGGTGTGCTCATGCGTAAATGGAGTCCTGAGAACTTGAAGCATGACTGGAGTGCTGTTTTTCAGGTAGTCCTTCCAAAGTCTTACAGAGACTATGTACTGAGTGTGGCTCATGATCATGAACTTTCTGGCCACCTAGGTATCAAGAAAACCTATACTAATCTCTTGAAACATTTTTTCTGGCCCGGAATGAAGTCCACTGTGTCCCAGTATTGTCGTTCTTGCCATGATTGTCAAATTGCTGGAAAACCGAATCAGGTTATTTCACCAGCCCCCTTAAAGCCTATCCCAGTGATGAATGAACCATTCGAGAAGCTTGTGATTGATTGTGTTGGTCCTTTACCAAGAACTAAGTCTGGTCACTCGTACTTATTAACTTTGAAGTGCTCTGCTACTAGGTTTCCAGAAGCCATTCCACTACGTTCGTTGAAGACCCCTACAATTGTGAAAGCAATTGTAAAATTCTGTGCAACCTTTGGTCTACCTAAGTTTATTCAGTCTGATCAAGGATCTAATTTCATGTCTAGAGTATTCCGTAAGGTAATGAAAGAGCTGAACATTCAACATTGCGTATCTAGTGCCTATCATCCTCAGTCTCAAGGCGTGCTTGAAAGATTTCATCAGACTCTTAAGACCATGATTAGAACTTACTGTCTCCAGCATAAGACAGAGTGGGACGAGGAGGTTCCTCTTCTGTTGTTTGCTGTTCGCAATACGGTACAAGAATCACTTGGATTCAGTCCAGCCGAGTTAGTTTTTGGACATTGTCTGCGAGGTCCATTAAAGGTGTTACAAGAACAGTTACTCTCTGAAAGTCAGTCAGTTACTCCTTGTAAGAATGTGCTAGATCATGTGAGTTCATTTCGTGAACGTTTACATTCAGTGTGGCAATTAGCACAACAGTCACTAGCAAACTCCCAGTCTCGTATGAAAAGCAGATATGACAAAAAGTCTGTTCAACGCTCATTCAAGGTTGGTGATCAAGTTCTTGTATTGCTGCCTTTGCCTGGCTCAGCTCTACAAGCAAAGTTTGCGGGGCCGTATGTGATTGAGGAAAAGTTAAGTAATACTGACTACGTAGTAGGAACTCCTGAAAGAAAGCGAAAGACTCGCATATGCCACACAAACATGCTTAAACTGTATGTCTCTCGACCTAACTCTAAAGATTCTGCCGATTCTCCAGTGTCTACTCCTGCTGTTGTAACTTCTGTGGATGTGGTGCCTTCTGAATACTCTCCTTCTATTGATGATCTTCACTTAGGAAGTGCTTGCCTTTCTGGTGCTCGTTTACAAAATTCGGAAACTCTTGTAAGTCTCAGTTCTAAACTTTCACATTTATCCAGATCGTCCCAAAGTGATCTGATACAGTTAATTGATAGATACTCTTCACTTTTCTCAGATGTACCTACTGTGACTAATGTGTTGAAACATGACATTGATGTTGGTGATCATCGTCCAGTTAAGCAGAACGCTTATCGTGTCAATCCTGTCAAGCGTGAGATAATGAAACAAGAAACCCAGTCTCTCATTGAAAATGGTCTGGCTGCGCCAAGCTCTAGTCCATGGTGTTCTCCTTGTTTAATAGTTCCAAAACCTGATGGGACCTCACGTTTTTGTACGGATTACCGGAGAGTTAATCAGTTAACAAAGTCAGATTCTTACCCTCTTCCCAGAATGGAGGATTGTATTGATCGCATTGGAAGCGCTAAGTTTGTAACTAAGTTGGACTTGCTTAAAGGGTATTGGCAGGTGCCGCTTACCGAGCGTGCTTCTGAGATCTCAGCCTTGCCACCCCAGATGCCTTTCTGCAATATAACGTTTTAGCTTTCGGCCTCAAAAACGCTCCAGCTACCTTCCAACGTTTAATGCATAAAGTTTTAGCCAATGTGAACAATTGTGAGGCTTACCTCGATGATATAGTGTGTTACTCCGATACGTGGAGTAGTCATTTACAAACCCTAGAAGAAGTGTTCTTAAGGTTGCAAGCTGCTAATCTTACTCTTAATTTGGCAAAATGTGAATTCTGTCATGCCACTGTCACATACTTGGGTAAAAAGGTTGGTCATGGTTCCGTCCGCCCTTTAGAAGCTAAAGTTCAGTCCATTGTTGAGTTTCCTGTGCCCAAATCTAAAAGAGACCTCAGATGGTTCCTCGGAATGGCTGGCTACTACAGAAATTTCTGTAAAAACTTTTCTGACGTTGTCAAACCTCTCACAGACAACCTTCGTAAAGCTGTGTCTTTTAACTGGAATTCTGAGTGTGAACTTGCCTTTGAGTCTTTGAAAAATTTGTTGTGCAATGCTCCTGTTTTGGCTGCCCCAGACTTCTCTAGACCTTTTAAACTTGAAGTAGATGCTAGTGGTACAGGTGCCGGTGCTGTCTTACTGCAGGAAGATGATCAAAGAATTGACCATCCGATATATTTCTATTCAAAGAAATTTAATCGCCATCAACTCAATTACAGTACCATAGAAAAAGAAGCATTAGCTCTTTTGTTAGCTCTTCAACATTTTGAAGTTTACGTTGGTTCCAGTTCACAACCCGTTGATGTATTCACAGATCATAATCCACTTGTCTTTTTGCAGCGTATGTGTAATAAAAACCAGAGACTTATGCGTTGGGCACTCATTTGTCAAAGTTTTAATTTGAAGAGCTCTTTTCCAAAACGCTATATATCCATTTTGATTGTTTTGAGATAAAGGACAATTATTTACCCAGACCTACATATTTTGTAAGTATTTAATTTATATAGTTAAAAATCATTTTTGGGTCAGTCTGAACACCATCAACAATAATTGAGAAATCAAAGAAGAATGTTAATGATCATAAATCCAAAGTTTATTTTATTTCTTTTCAAAACGCTATATATCCACTCTCCACTACATATCCACCATGTGTTCTTTGCTCAAAAATGTTATAAAACCATTAATTTTTTTCAGTCTGTTTTTAAAATAAGTTAACATACAATATCATGAGCTCTATATTAGACTATAGAGCGCTCACTATTCACAGTAAAGACACAGTAAAACATAACACACATACAAAACAAATGGCCAATTAGTGCAATATTAAGTGCGAAACCAATTAAAATGTTGTTGCTTGAAGTGCATAACCTTTATAACAATAAAACAAAGATAAAATTTAATACTGCATTACATACTGCATTACATTCATTCACTACACTGTAGGAATTTATTCTGGGTCTTCGTCACTCTGGTGAGCGTTTTCATTCACATCAGATAGTGCATCACTATAAAATGCGCTCACTGCCTCAGACACACCTATTGCTTTCAGGAGTGCAACCACATCTTGCTTCTTTGCTTTCTTCACTGTGGTTTGGCTTTCAAGAATGGCAGGTTTCAGGTCAGCCCACCGTTTGCCCCGTTTCAGCACACTGTGGAAGCAGTACTCCCCATTGTATGCCACCTTTATACCAACCTTGTTGGTACTCAAATCCAGCATGCGTGCTTCACTGATCTTGAAGCTTCTCTGCGCCTTCACGCACTCTTTTGTAGCTGACTTGTAATCAAAAGCCTTCCAGTCTGTGCCGTAAATGTACACATTACCAAACTGCTGCAGGAGGGCATGGTATTCTTGTGGCAGGAGAATTGTGTCGATCCTTCTGATTTTCTGCTCAATCCTGCCAAAAACTCTATCTGCGGGGAGATAGCTGTGCCCCCTGACTGGAAATGTGTGCTCGATGCAAAGATTGGGGAAGGTTTGCCTTAGCTCCATGAGCATGGAGACCATGGTCATATTTTTGTTTTGTCCATAGCACGAGTCACTGAAGAGCCGAAGCCCCTTGGATCTGCGAATTTGACTGGCAAGGCGAACTGTGAAGCAGTCATTCAAAGCAGATGGAATCATGTTGCTGTTCTTGGGACCCTGATTTTCCTGCCACACATAGAGATGGACATCCTCTTTTGGCTGCCGACTATTCTCTCCATGGTGTCTTACAACACCAAACAGGTAGAGATACAGCTGACGAGAGTAGTAGGCCTGCCCTATTGGAGTTTTGGGAAGGATCAGATTCTGCATCATGTCAAAGCAGACAGACACAGAATCCTTCGCAACTCTGCCTAGTAGGTCATAGAAAACACGAGCTCTACGACGATGCAAAATGAATGATGCAGATTCTATCTGCCTCTCTGCTTCTGTCATATTTGGATCTGTGATTCTGAATTTGTATTTGGCACAATCAGAACATGCATCAGTTGCTGGGTGGCCGAAGCCAAGATTGAAATTTTTGGCAAAAACAGAGTAGTAGAGGGAGTAGCTTGTGTGTGCGTGGTTTAGAGCCTCAAAGAGCCCATGCATCCTGCGCACACTGAGGTCAGCTGGCAGATACCTGCGCCCAGGTGCTCCCCTCCGCCCATAGTGGCTGGCCCTGGACGTGAAGGTCTTGATGTGATTTATGATCAGTTGCCTTCTACTGTCGTTCCCCTCGATGTTTCTCGCACCACCTCTTCTCTCCGGACGAGCCTCTGCAGTCTCGGCATAATACCGGGCAACCCGGGAGGCCCGGTCTTTGCTGATTCCTGTGGTAAAGTGAAGGTAAATTAATGAATTAGATCGATTCAATGTAAAACCAACATGCATACACATCATTACACACACTATACACATAGTCCAGTAAAGAATCACGCACACACACACACACACACACACACACACACACACGTTCCCTTTACCACACCTCTTCCCCTTGCTTCCCTTAACACCACTTTAAAGCCTCCTGGACTGTCACCAAATAAACAAACACACACACACACACACACACACACACACACACACACACACACACACACAGTGTGTGCACTCCCCCCTGCCCCTTGATTCCTTCCCTGAAGAGCGCTTTACAGCCCCAGTCTCCTCCACTATCTCCATCAGACAAGCAGATAAACACACACACACCTTCCTACTACATTTCATAAAGCGTCTGACCAGTAGCACCAGTAAGACATGAACACTTTCACCCCTGGAGTTTACAAACAGTTAGCACCGCTTTGTCTAGAAATGGCTTTAGCCATCCACTACACAAATAAAGGGTTGTGTATCATCATTACTTTTCTCTGATAAGTAGCCAAAAAACAATCCTTCTAATAGTATAAAACATGACGCCCATCAGTGTAACTACAAAGGAAAATCACATACAAAACGGATTTCAACTATTCCAAACATGAAAACTTTACTCACCCAAAACTGACAGGAATGTGGCCTTGCAAACTGGCAATTTGTTGGGGTGCTCATCCCACAGCAGGCTGTATTTCACGGTGACATTCCTCCCCTTCTGTCGGTTTTCGTCGTTCTGACGCTGCCGTTTTACCTCAGATACGCTCATCAGGTGAAGAAGTGCCGCGTCCTGATCCACCTTATTAGGTTTGTCATGAAACTTCTGAAAATTCATGACAAGGTCATCGGGTGTCAATCTATCTGCTTGGCAAAAGCATTTAGCTGAGGTGTGTTTACATCCAATGGTGGGGATCCGTCCTCCACCAGAGTAGCGCATCTTCTTAGTTTGTTGACGTTCGTGGTTGTCTTCGTTTAAACGCCGTCGTCTTCCACCTGGCGCGGGCTTAACAGCTTCTTCGGACCCATCAAAAGTGTTTATCACAGTCAACACATTCATTTTTCCGACGTATTTAATTCACACTGACGATGTTTACCTCACGCCTCACGTACACCTCACGCATGACAGCTATTCGAAGACTCCGATTGGCCGAGAGAATATATCGCACTTTGACTCGAAACGAGTGTAGCGGCTGTCGCGGTTTGGAGTAAAACGACACCTTTCAGTACAATTTAAACAGGGATATGTAGCGATTTGGTTAGAAAACATTTATGGAGCAGTGAGTAGGCTCGGTATACAACAGAATGACGTGACAAACTCATTTTTTTTTTAAATGGCGTTTATCGCGTTTTGGAAAAGAGCTCTTCATTTGCACATTAAGTACAAGAAAGGTGTTGACAATGTAATTGCAGACTCTTTGTCCAGATGTCATTTGTAAACTTGTAACCATGTTTACTCATATGTGTGGGGGTGTTACGACCCTATGGTTTGTATTTTGCTATCTCTGTTGTTTTGTCAGTCTCTCAGTATGTCTGTTTAGGAACGTCGTCTGATTGGTTCCTGCAGGATGATTGGAACGCCCATCTGATTGGTTCCTGCACGATGATTGCTGCTCGATCCTGATTGGTGCAGCTTGTTTTAAAAAGAGACATCACTTCCTTTACAGGAAGTCGGGAGATATTGTGTTTGAGCAGAGAGAGAGTTTGTGATTTGAATGTTAAGAGTTTTTGAGACTGAGTACCCTTTTTGTTTGTTTGTTTGATTTGAAAGAGAAAGTTTGTGATTTGAGACTGTTAAGAGTATTGAGACTGTGAGTACTGTTTGTTTATTTGTTTTGAAAGCTGTTTGTATCTGAATATCCTCATTGGTATATTTGACCCTTTGCCTGTTTACCGACACTGATTTGGACTGCCCTTTTCAGTTTGTTTGCCTGGCTGTATATATTGTAAATACTGATTGATTTTTGGGAAAGTAGGGAGCTCGACGCCATTTTCTTTATTGTAAACTGTTTAATCTCTGTTTTTGGTTAGGGAGATAGGTTTATTGATTGTATCTTCATTTTCTTTTCTTTTGGGTTAGGGTTTAGGAAAGAGGTTTAAATTTAAGGTTGTTTTGTTTGTTATTTTGGCATTGTCAGCTCCTGAATCTTAAGTCCCAAATTAAGAAAAAGAAATAACTTTTTGTTCCAATTCCTCATTTTTCGTTGACTCTTTCATGTTGCCCCTTTTCCCCTAGACGGGGTGTAACAACGTTAAATAACATAACATGGGTTGGGGTTATTTTTGTTTGGTTTTTCTTTGTGTTTTTCCCTTCCTGTTTTCCTTATGTTTCCCTTGTCTGTTTATTTTGTTTTTCTATCATATTTTCCTTTGGTCTGCTATTTCTCCTCCTCACTATCACTTCAATAGGGTCGCAACCTGGGAATGATGATGTGTAACTGACTGTCGTACAGTAGTTCCAGTGGAGGGACTGAAGACTAAAATTTTATTGTTTAAAGTTATTTTTTAGTATTAATGTTCTTTATTCATTTTCATAATAATTTCATAATGTATTTTATGAGTCAGAGTATGTTGTACATGTGTGCTGAGCAGAGATATGGGATGAGCTATATTTTGCATATAAGTATGTGTGCAATGAAACTTTCACTGAGCAGAGATGTTCCAATGATGATGATACATCAAATGTGTACAGTTGGCATGCTCTTTACAAGGAAAGGAATGTTTTTCAACTGATGCAAATGTACCACTAATGTGTGGTACACTAATTACTGTACTGACTCAGAGAATCATAAAGGCATGATGGGGTGAGAAGGAGAAATAGAGGCATGACAGGGTGAGGGAGGAGAAACACTGAGAAACCATTACAACTGGCATCATCTCTCGTGGCACAAAAATTGCCTAGGGATGATGGCTGTTTTTACATGGGTGGCTGCCTACATAAATCACTGGGGGTCTGCGGTCGCGCCCTCTTTGCAAATTGCTGCACCGGATCCTCCTGTGGGCCCAGGGCAAGCTGCATTACGAGCAGTGTACATGCCAGGGAGCGGACATCTTGTCGAGGCAGGGGCTGAAGCTCGGGGAATGGAGACTCAACTCCGAGGTGGTGGATTTAATATGGAGGGAGTTTGGCCAGGCGGAAGTGGACTTGTTTGCGTATCAAGAAATGATTCACTGTCCACTCTGGTTCTCTCTCAATCATTCCGGCCCCATTAGGGTTGGATGCCATGGTGCAGACGTGGCGGAGGCTGTGTCAGTATGCCTTTCCCCTGATCGCTCTGCTGCCAGGAGTTCTAGGGAGGGTCTGCCGTGACGGGGTCTATCTAATATTAGTAGTCCCCGGCCCGAGTATGTGTTTCGGAAGTATGTATGCTTTTTGCGTCGTCACTCGTAAGGAGAGTCTTTCTAGCCGGTTGCATATTAGTTATGTTCTTCATCGAATTCCACAGACTGTGAGTGTTAGATTGATAACTGAAATTTCCTCTAAAATATTGTTTTGTTTTTTCCATGCAGCTCTTAATAACTGGTTCAGTTCTTTCTGCACAGATTTGAATTCAACACGATCACAATTTCTAAAGGCAGCTTTTTTTTCCTATTAATACAATGCTTTATCTCTTTAGTAATATAAACTTTGTTTTTGGGATGTATAATGACTTGCTTTTTAGTGACCACATTGTCAGTACAGAATTTTACATACTCAGTTATTACTTCAGTTCTTTCATCTAGGTTTGCACTATTTTTTCACATCCCAATCTGTGCATTAAAAACAGCCCTTCAGCGATTCAATGTTATTTTCAGACCACACACGAACCTCTTTAGTAACTGGTTTTGAACTTTTTAAAACTGTGCTGACAATGGAATTAGATGCACTGTATTGTGGTCTTGTGAACAAATGTTTATGTGTTATACGGCCTTATTTCAGTGACTTAAATTTGTAGTTTTAAAAAAAAAATTGCATAAACATTTTCTCAAAACTACAAAATTGTATGTACATGTTGCTCACATATTACTGTAGCCCTGTTTGTGCTGAATACAGTGTAATCAGACTTTAGCCATTAATATGTTTTTAAACCAGGTATGAACTAATGGTGCGTTCCATTATTTATCCGTCTCGGAGATCCGAATCGGAAGACAGACGTTGCCTAGCAACACGCCCCCTTTCCTCGGATTTCTCCTCTCGGACGTCGGACAACCATGAGAACACCGAGCAAGAATTCCGTTTCGGAATTCAAGATGGCTGCGCCCTGTGTGACTTGTAAGTTTGAATTGTTTTCATTGTGTTTGAACCGCTTTGTTATTTTAAATGACCATTATAATCACTCGTATTACTGCGTCCCCTGTAGGGGAATCGGTTGTTGTGAGTGCAATTACTAAGGTTGCTAGCGTTGCTAACAGAAGATTAACATGAAAAACATTAAATAAAGTGAACATTTTTCAAGTTCAAGTTCTTCCTCGGTGTTCTGTTAGGTGAAGCCCATACTTATTTTGGAGCGCCTGGTACTCGGCCAGTGCGTTCATTTTTTTCTCCGACTCGGACGCGCAAAACATAATAGAACGCTTGAAGTGTGGACGTGACGTCATATCCGAGGTCCGAGTCGGTTCGTTGGCTATAATAGAACGCACCATTAACACAAATCATTTAAATATTTATTGTGTGAAAATGTCTCGGTTACTATTGTAATATATTGTATTTTTACAATATGTAATGTTCTATTTATTAAAGTATAGATTTAATAAAGTTCATGTTTTCATGCATTTTTACATATATTGCAAAATAATAACTGCATTTACATTTAATCATTTAGCAGACGCTTTTATCCGAAGCGACTTACAAATGAGGAGAGCAATAGAAGCAGTTAAACTACTAACCATAGGACAACAATATGTAAGTGCTGTGAGTGACCCTTCCTAGTTTAGTCTAAAGCAGTATATGTACTTGTTTATTTATTTATTTTTAAATAGATATAGAGTAGAAGAGAAGATAAAATAAAGTGTTAGTATTAATGGATCAAGTGCTGCCGAAAAATATGCGTCTTCAGCTGTTTCTTGAAAATGGCTACGGACTCAGCAGCTCCGGTTGAGTTAGTCCAGGTAAAGGTCCGTGAAAGTGATTTTGTGCCTCTTTGAGATGGCACCACAAGGAGACGTTCACTTGTAGAACGCAAGTCTCTGAATGGCACGTAAGTCTGAAGTAGCCTAATGAGTTTAGGTAAAAGGGAGCAGAGCCAGTGGTTGATCTGTAGGCAAGCATCAGTGCCTTGAATTTGATGCGAGCGGCAATTGGCAACCAGTGCAATATTATGAGGAGAGGAGTGACGTGTGCTCTCTTACACTAGCTGCTGCATTGTGGATCAGTTGCAGAGGTTTGACAGTGCATGCTGGAAGACCTGCCAAGAGACCATTACAATAGTCCAGTCTGGATAGAACAAGCGCTTGAATATATATTATTTGTGAACTAATGATCAGCTTTTATTTTTAATAGTCAACTAATTTTCAGCAGTCATCAAGCTTGTACACACTGGTCACAGACACAGAAATGAAGATGTACAGTAGGCTACCTTTAATTTCTCCAAGCTAAAAATCCCCACAGTCAACATGTTTTCAGGCCATTTCAAGTTTGATTTTGATGTGACATAAAGCAGTGATATCTTAAAGGCTTATTTGTTTACTTACATTTAATTAGTCTTACCATTGTCTTCATTCGGGCCGATTCAAGAACGCCAATGAAAACAAGAGGCGGGATTTATCACACGAACCAATCATAACCGATCATATCCAATCATAGTGTGATGGGGCCACTGCCTCCTCTCATGCGACTTTCCCCCATTCATTCTCAATTACCCCCTAAACCCACCACACGCATTAGATTAGGGTGTCTGTTTTAAGTCAATGGGGAAAGAAGAAACGCGCCTCCCACTGTAACTTTACCTGCGGGTGTCGCTGTTGGGCAGTGTTACTTTATAAAAACAAGTGATTTATACAGTACATGTTTTAATGTCACATTTTGTAATATTTGCGTTGTTTTATTTTTTTGTAATATGGATTATAGTAATATGGAACCCCCCCTGGCCTGTACATGCGGAAACGTTCCCATAGCGTTAACACCATGACCCAGCGTCTCGTTCCCCTCTCAGGGAACCCACCTGAGGTGTTTTTCCAACTTAGGCTTAAAAAAACAAACAACAACAAGAAATATTTTAAACTGAAGAATATATTTTAAGGCATCTAAACTAAATGATTAATTGCAACTAAACCGTTTGAACGGCTGTTTGAAATCCTTAGATTAAGAAGTAACTGGCAAAAGTGTGCTTAAATTTATGCCATATACTGCATTGATTCATGCCACATTTCAATAAATAGATTACAATATACAATATACAGAATATACTTTAAGTGTGTAATAGGCAGTATGGGGAAAACCCACATACTTTAAAGAACCTAAATCATGTGGACTTTGTTCAGGAGGGAAAAAAAATTTAAAAAAAAAAAATTTATGAATTCAAACATATTTAATACAGAAAAGCTTTTTAGATATACACAATAATAATTATATGACAATGCATAAATGTACTCTACAGAATTTTGGGTTAAGCATGGAATTTGTTCCGGTTGAAAAAATGAAATTAACGTTAGGCTAGTTGAAGAAGAATATAAAAAAAATGTAAAGCGTCTGTGTTTACAGACTTTTTAGTGACTTCAGTCTCTTTAGAGGCAACATAAATGCAATCCAATATTAAAAAACAATGCTAAAAAAAACAACAACAACAAAAAAAAGATGTGCATCTTCAACTACACATTGTTATATGACCAACCAGTCAGTAACTGGACTGCCTTTCCCACAAGCATCGTAAGCCTAAATTGATCATAGGACAATTGCCACCAATGGTACATCAATTTAGGCTTACGATGCTATTGGGAAAGGCAGCCCTGATTAGTTAGTTGTGATTGATTCACTGAAATGAACCGACTCATTACAATCATTTGTAGTGTCATAGTAGCCGACCTCATTTCTTTGTTTAATGCAAACAAGGAAGGATAAATAACAAAACCCTAAAACTTCTCATCAAATTGAATCTGACAGCTCTGAATATCAGTAATTACTGTGAGCTTGCCTTGGTGACTCATGGTAACGAAACGTTTTACACATAATTTTTTTTACATGGATCCTCAATAAATAATTTCTAAAGAAAAACTCAAATATATTGTACATATAAGAAAAATGCTATGGTATATATTAGCATTTTGCTTGAACCACAGCAACATTGTCTTGTCATGTGATTCTTTAAACTTGCATAAATTGTACCTCAGGGATAGTTTTAAAAAAAAAACTGCTTATGTATCTTCACATTTTGATCTCCAAGATTTGTAATTCACAACTGTATTTCCTGCATAACACACCATAGCTAGTGAGGCAAATATCTGAAAAGAAGAAAGAATTCAAATAATTCATGTAATTATGACACACACATACAAAACTCAGTACAGTAATGTCTGTTTAGTTAATGTCAACAAATTATTTCAGTCCAAGAAAATAATCAGTTGTGGATGGAAAGACATTGCTGCACATGTGCTATGTTTGTTGTTCATAAGGAAACAAGAGTATTGATCAACTAATCAGAGAGAGAGAAGTTGCTTGTCATACCGTTGATGCCACCCAGCTGATGAAGTAGTAGCGCCCCCTAATGGCCACATTCGAAGATACACCACTGATCACAGCTGCTGTCAGGTACAATACAGAGGCGCTGCCATTAAAACATATTCCCTGTGAATTAAGAAGCCTTCAGTTTAATGAAAGATTGGATTAAAAAAAAAATTGTTTAACATTAATTTGTGTAGGTCTAATTTACTCACCAGAATTTTCCATGGGATCTGGGGAATCCTGGTGTGGGCCGTGGTCAGGTAAAAGAGGAAGAGAATGACAGTAAGCACCCAACAAAAGACTGACACAAACATTACCCACCCCAGTGCAGGAACATGGAGGTACTCCGTCCCACCAATCAGAGTCCACACCAGAAGCCCAAACACCTGAGATTTAAGATGGAGCACAGACGTATAGGACTGAAGCAGCACTGTTCTTTTAAACAAGTGAAACACATGCAAGTGATCTAAAACCAGCTATAAGAAAGCAGATAACAGTATCACGGTTTCTGAGGGAATGTATTTGTTGATAACATGTATAACTTTAATGCATGGATAAAAGCCTCTGCAAAATGCATAAGTTTAAATCACCAACTCATATTTTAGAACCTGAAAAAAACTTTTGGATTGAGCTGTAAAAAAACATTTAAAAAAAAAAAAAAAAAAAAAAAACAATGACAATTATGTTCTCCAAGCAGCAGAACAGGGCCTTTCCCCTTTTTAACACCATGTTTTTCTCCAGAGATCTCCCACCCTCCCTTCCTGTTATATACAGCCAAAGAATTTCTCACTGTGCATGATATTACAGGAAAAATTATTTCGGGTTTAGAAGACAGAGCTGGCTGTAGATTACGGCAGGAAAGGGAATGATTGAATTTGACTCAGAGCATGTGGTGGAAGGAAGAAGAACAATACAAGCCGAAAGGAAGAGTTTGTTTCCCAACTGTTTTTGGTTGGTCCTCTTCCTCTCTTTCCATAGTGAGTAAGCATCTTTATAACCAACAAAAAGTCTTACATTTTGTTGTTCCTATTCACTACATACTGTATGGTTTCAAGCAATCCCTTGTGAAAAATAAGTGTGTCCGATTGTATTGAATGTACACATGTGGTATACTTCAAATCTTTAAAGTGCATTTAAAAACTGTACTTGTGGAAAATATAATTTTAATTACATAAAAGGCGACTGAAGTGTTTAAAGAGAGTACACTTTCATCACTATGTTTCTTAACAAACTTAAGTATACTTAACAAAGTGCACTTTGTAATGTCAAACTAAACATTTTACCTTCCAGTAAATTTTAAATCATTATGTTTTAATAAACTTGTGTCATGCTTTAAAGAAGTACACGTATTTTGATGCGTTGACTAACATACAAGCACATGTAAAGTACTTGATTATAATTTAACTGTAGTGTGATACTCAATAATACATTTAAAGTTAATATATTTGAAATATATTAAATTGCAACTTCATCATTACAAATGTGTAATTACAAATACATGACATTCAATTTGCGATAGAAATTACATTAAAATACGTAAGTACATTCGGCAGTACACTTTAACCATATTTCAAAGACAATAGAAATAATTAAGAAATTACATATAAAGATATTACATATAAAGTCATACTTAAGCACTCTTAAGTCCAGCTAATTGCATTTGATATAAACTGCAGTCTATAAATTTAATAGGCTATATAGTAGGCCACATTTTCATTTAATTACACAGTTTGCACTCAAATATATAGGCCTATTATTTTAAAGTAGGCCTATATTATTTCTGAAATAAGTGCTCTATTAAAGTGTGTGTTTCACAAGTGACGTATAAGCCTAGTCTTCTATGTTATAAAAGATTGCATCATAGAAATAAAAGATTTTAAATCAGGATCAGTTTCACTTTTACTATATCAAAAGATGCAGCGATCCTCCTCTGGGAAATGGAAAGTGTTACCAATCTAGATTTCTTTCATTCTAATTCATATTACTGTAATATGTTTGTTTCATCAAGTGACTTCAAAATAGGCTATTAGCTATAGGATAAACCTATCTAAATAACTTTAGATTTAATGAACTATTGAGATAGCACATTCACGGCATACTTACGATTTCTCCAGCCATAAACGTGCCACAGGCAGAACGAATAAAGTTCCCATCATAAGCCAACTTGGAGTGTGACAAGCCTAAACTCTCTATATTTGAGCTTTTACTTGTTCTGTCAGTACTGCTGCTGTCGATGCGGGACTCGGAGTCGACCTCCATTCTAACGGAATTACAAAACAAACTCCCCGAATGAGCAACGAAATGATCCTCCCTACTCCCAAAGGAAAGGACGTTTACTATGGTGAAGGTTTAGTCCATTCGTGAAAGAATTGTTCTTTTGAGTCGGATCTTTTAATCTGTTGAACCGGTTTAAAAATCAATCTGTGAACGATTCGTTAACGGACAGAACCGGTTCTCGATCCAATAAAACTTCCTACCCTCACGTCTCTTGGACCATAACCCATGTAAAATAAGACAGTCTCTCGTAATTAACCGAAACCAGAGAGAGGAGTGATATAACCAATTCTATACGCTTTGGTTAGCCTACCTACCTGCAGTCGTTCAAGCTGCAAATGCAGGTAGGCCGACCATTTTTTCCCCTCGGCAAACTATGGTTTTGAAGGTTTGGTTTCATTTTTTTTTTTTTACTTAATTAGGATATTTATAGGTAAATATTAACTTCAACCAGCGCTATTTTCGTGTTCTAATAGCAAGCTATTTGTACTGAATGACAAACTAATGCAAACGGAAACGATTCTTTTAACCAGTTTGAGTAATTAATTTGTAACCGACTTAAAAGAGTGATTTATTCGCGAATTGCTGTAGCATATTATTTCATATAAACGAATTGACACAAAGGCATAACCTGCAATAAACAGGCATATGTGTTTTAGGCTGTTTTCACACCTGGTCCTTATCATCGGTTTGAGTTTTCAAGAGGACCCAAGTGTGGAAAACGCCCTTAGGATGCCACAGCTATAACCACGTATGTTAAGTATAGGCTACTTTCGCTATTGGAAAGTTATGTAGTTATTATGTTCCAATTAGCCTATGTCTGTATGTTCCGGTTCTCAGCATATAGGCTTTTATTGCTGAGTTACAGAGCAACGTTAAAACGTGGCAAATTTAATATTCACAAGCCAGTCATTTGTCATCTGAAAGTAGCACTGTCATGACCTAATTAACATTAAAGAGATTTTGGCATTAAATGTTGCTTTTGGTGGAAGAGAACCCAACGCCTCATGACAAGAAGACTGCATGTGCATCAGGTGCATTTAACCTGACATCCTGATCATCGTATGGTCATCTGTGATTTTAAATGTGAAGGCAACTGAGACAGCAAAACATTTTTATTAGTAAAAACCAGCACAAATTACCTGAATTATTAACCCAGGTTACCCCCCCCCCCCCCCCCCAAATTTATTATAATAATTCAGCTAGGTCTATGTCACAAGGGGGCAGCAAATCCAAAGAAGTTGCTTGTCAAACTATAGTACTGAGAGCTTCATAATACAGCGCTGTATTATTGTCTCTATGTCCTGTAGGCTATTTTGCAGAAAAGACAACATTTTCAGTACTTAAAAAATGTGACTATAGGCCTACAATTAATTGTTTTATTTGTGCTATCTTGATTTCACACACTATTTTGTCTCATTACTAGAATAGTAAAATATTATTTAATCTAAAGAGCAACATTTAGAAGACTATGGTACATCAAATTCAAATCATATGGGGAGCAACCAGTCAAATGTCTATTTTCTGTTATAATGTATATATAACACAGTTGCCATAAACCTATTACTTGATGGCTGTTAGACCTCATCCTTTCTGCCAGCTCTCTACATCAAAGGTTTGCTTTCACTTTGTTGATCTGATTTTTTATTTATGACTAAACAAACCTGAAAATGCCATGAAAGCATCTGGCCCAGCTGTGTTGCTGTACCCGACTAATACAGTTTGTTACAGGCAATATCAGCGAACGAGATCTAGCAGTTGAATTAAAATATTTTATTTGAGACTCAGAATACAGCTATTGTTGATACTACAGAAAACAGCCCATACAGTATTACAATCCTGGAAAATAAAAAAAGAGAATCAGATGGAATTGATTTTAAAAAAAAACAATATTTGATTAGAAATAAAATTAGTTGATCAATCCATAATCCACTTAATTTAATGCTCGATTAAATCCAGTTTTATGTATTATTATATGTAATATTTTAATCAAAATCTATAGTTTTAGTTCTGGAAATTAACAATACTGGTGGAAAATAATGGCAAAATAAGATGTCCCTTTCCCAGCACCCTGCGTGTGGCCTGTTCGTCTCAGTAACCTCTAATTATTAATTGTTGTTCACAGCGGTTGCCATGTAGTCTGTTGTAAAGGTTATGCTTTCGATAAATGCACAGTCCCACAGAATGTAATTAAGTCATCTCAGGAGGAGACGTGCTGTGAGACTCAGGCTGGGGTAATGCTTCAGTGGCAGCCATGTTTAAGATGCATGAGTTTTTTCAACAGTCTAACAGAAATTAAATGAAAGTTTAGTTATTGTGAATGTAATGCAATAAACAGGCCGCAGATTATATAATGAATATTACCTAATACCTATCCATTAAATTATGTTGTATTTTTGTGGGTAACACTTTATTTTACAGTGTCCTTGTTACACATTACATCTAGTTACTATAGTTATTAGGCTACTATAAATTGTCCATAATTACATGTAACTAACCTAAACCAAACCCTAATCCTAACCCTAACCCTATAGTAAGTGCGTAGTTAATTATTACTAGTACTTATAATTGCACTGTAACACGGACACTTTAAAATAAAGTTGAACCTTTTTATTTATTTAATTATATTACAATACATTTACAAAAATTAGACAGCAGACAGCATTAAATTAGCTTTTTTTTAGCTGTCATCTGTCTTCATTTGAGAGTCTAGGGCTAGTTCATGTTTGTCTCATGTTCTATATTCTGAGACAGCCTCCATGAGAGTAGCAAGGTTAAAAGTTGAATGTCACATACTTTTGCTTTGTACTTTAATTGTAGCTAATGGCAAAGTCAGGATGTGCACATACAGAAAAGATCATTAATTGATCATTCTCATGTAATTCAGATTATCATTATTATTATATGTTCCCCTCAAATTGAAAGAAAATGCACAGTATTGAGAATTGGATCTAACACACAATTATATTTATGAGATGTTTTTCATCTTTTTTTAAAATGTACTAAGCATATTTAAATTTATATTTACTAATGATGATATTTGTGCTTGTTCAAAGTTAATTTTCAGTAATGATGGAAATCTTGGTGATAATAACAACAAAAAGAGTTATTGTATTATTGATAGTCAGAGGCACTATAGGGCTGATTGTTTTTTTTTTAAAGAAGAAAGTCTTCAGCTTTGTCTATGAATACTTCAGGGATCGTATAATGATAAATAAGCCTCATAATGCAGGGATTGTTGCTGAGATAATAGCCAAGACAGTCAATAGGACTGACTTAGTCTTTAAATCAACAGAACTGTCTTAACCTGTGGGATTTGTTTATATTACAAAAGTACAGTAGTCAATACTAAACCCTGATGCTGAACCCATGCATCACCCTCTAATTACCAGATCTGTGGAGTCTCTGCGTATTAAAAAGATCTAGATCAGATTATGATCTCCTAAGCCTTTAAAAAGATGAGTAGGTTCTGGGAGTTTCTCAGCATAAATGCACATCAGAGAGCGAGAGATGGATAATCTCATTCCCAATCAAACACAGTTAGATTGAGTTGTAGGCTATATATATATATATATATTATGTACTAGACCCAATCATGATGACATACTCACATCCAAACAATATATATATATATATAGACTCAATCATGATGACATACTAGACTCACATCCAAACAAGCTCAAAACAATCAGATATTCTATTTGATGGGAACTCACTACAACGTCCATTTCAGTGCCTATTCACTTTTAGTTTTATCCATTAATTCCAAGTCAAAGGGCTGTGCTTTCGCTATTGAGCCAGGGTCAAGAAAGGTCAAAGGTTAAAAGGGGGCTGTGATAGTCGTGACACTGTTGCAATCAAATACGAGAATGCAAACTCTCTGCAACTTTAGCTAACAATTGCAACACCATCAACAAATTGAAAGTAGAACTTTTTCAAAAGAGTCTCGGGAAAAGAAGGTCCTTCATCAAGAATTGATGGGGTAAAAGCAGCTAAGTGTCCTTTAATGCTCAGTCTCTCCATTACCTCAAACCTAATGATGACTCCTGAGGATGGTCACATTCAAGATGGAGTCCTAGAAGTAGATGAAAATCAGATCTCTCCTTTTGCACTTTTCAGCCATGAAAATGGTTATCGTGCCACTGTAAAATCCTTGAAGCAAAATTGAAAAAGGAAATTAAACCGGCTGAATTATCTTTTTTTAAAATCATGAATGAAGGGTCTTTCATGGTCTCTGGAGCAAGAAGGGAGTGTATTTGAAGGAAGAGGGGGATGGTGGGTCTGCATTAAGACATTCTCATCCCTGATGAATCTCCCTGCTTCCCTTTTATTTCCTTTCCTCTTCACCCAGGCTCCTATGCGGTGGTAAGCCGCTCGGAGAATCATTGAAAGGGTGAACGAGGAGCCAACACCGAAGGGATTAATTATTTCAGTGTCTAGGACCGGTCCGGATTTACCAAACCACTCAGAGACACAGGCAAATCCCCTCACCTCTGTATGAGAACAACATACATGCAAACATTTCAATCGGAGTCCAAAAGAGGCGCAGAGGACCATGGGAACAGACACTGCGATATGCCCATGGTTAGTTTACATCCGCTCAGCCTTGGAACTGCCGGATATAATCAATGCTTCCATTCGTATGAAGAGCAAAAAGAGTAAAGAAATCCATTCTGACCACAAACTGACCATGAAAAGACAGGTGATCTGAGACTTATAGTTCAATCAAAGTGGCTCTAACCTGTTCATGCAAACAAAAGAATCCATGTCTGACTCCTGGTCACCCATATTTGCAAAGCTCTTTCTACTTAGCTTGAAAAGAACTTAGTAGTTGTAAAGAACCATTATAGCAGAGCCACTGCACAAGATCAACTTTATTTCTGTAAAGTCAATTAAATACAGATATCTTTATTTCTGTAAAGTCAATTACATACAGATATCTTTAAATAGAATGTCATAAATACAATACAACAGAACTGGAATTAGCGCGAATGCAGGGTAAGTTATGTGTTATGTGTGTTTGCTGAACATCTGCTTTTATCTAGTAAATAACTGATTTTGTTTCTGTGGGTGGCGCAAATGAGAACCATTTCATTATTTTTTTATCTATAGATTTTTTTTTGTTCAGATGAAATACCAAAAACAGTCAGACTGCCTTTCAATACAAAATTTAAATAAATAAAGAATTCACAAT